AATTACAACCTCTCGAAAAAAGTATTTTTAGGCTGTTTGTTTGGTTTAAAAACAAGCAGATCTATTATTACAATCATTACACTTTCATGTGCATTTGCAGGAATACAAAACAACAAACTTAATAAGCTAATTCAACAGAACAAGTTGAAAGAAATGCCTTTTAAATGATGAAAAGATATACGTCCCTATTTTTAACATTTGTATAACATGTTAGCACCAAGGGCTCTTTTCAAATAATGGTCAATTAGGAATCACTGCAGCCAAACCCTATGTTTGGAATAACCTTTAAAGTGAGAATGTGCAACATTTTACACATACGGTAAATAAAGCAGAAATCCAGTATATCTTCTATAAATGTGTCTCTGAGTCATGACATGTAGTCATGACTGTCTACAATGAGGGAAAAGCTCGAGTTGCACTGTCTGTGTTGTTGTCAGAGCCGTGTTTACATGGAAGGGACGCATATAAAAGCTGTTTAAGCGAGAGAGAAGAGAAGAAGAACATACTCAAGAAAAACAAAAACATATTTGTTAAAGGTCACATAATATACCAAATACACTTCCCCATGTTTCTCTAATATGTGTCCCTAGTCTTTCTACAAACCCCCCAATGATGAGAAAAGTGCATCCTCTTCGTCTTTTGCCTGCTCCACTTTTCAGAAAATGTGTTCTCAAACAGGCCGTTTGGAGATGTTCCCTTTATGACATCACAAAGGGCAGTAGCCCCTCCCCCAGGTGGGTGACACTCCCACAGCTAGGTGTTTGTTCTGCCCTCTGAGTCTGCCTTCTCACCGTAAACAACAGGACTAGGAGCGAGAAAGCCAGAGACACCCAAGCACTTCCAGAGAGGGGGCGTGGTCAGACACAGCTCATTTACATATTTAAAGGTACAGACACAGAAACAGCCTGTTCTGAGCAGGGCTGAAATACAGGGGTTTATAGGCATGATCAAATACAGGATCAGAGTGGATTTAAAACAAGAAACTTCACAGACATGTTTTGAGGAGCTCTGAGACTTATTTACACTGGTTGAAGAGGAGGAGGATATGTGAACTTTAATATTACTTGTATTGTAAACCGTCTAAACGCTGTACAATTATTTTCACAAAAACCCTCACTTATGATCCAAACTTTTTTAAATTTATGCCATCATCAGGAAAAAAACTCATCCATAACCACATAATGACATCAATAAACTCTTTCATGGACTCTAATTAACTTGTCTTCTCCTTAGTTTGACGTAGGGTCTCGCTGGCAGTCCGGACCGTGTGAACATACCAGAGGTCCGTGGGTCTGTAAGGCTCGCGGACCCCCTGTGGTTTGAAATAGAGCGGATTACAACTCTCACCAACAAAAGACACAAACTCACCCCCTCCTACATATCTGCTCCTCAGACACAAGTGACACTGTGAACTAAAGAGGCTCCTTTTGTGCTGCAAACCCATTTGTACCCATTAAAGGGGATAAAACAGACTTCCACTGCACATTAAACTCTGATTACGATGATAGACACTGATTACTTTTATTTTACTTTTGCAAAATCAATCTTGTCTACAAAATGCCGGATATGATGACTAAGGTGGTCGACAGGTGTTAGACTTACATTAAAGCCCTATTCAGACTGCCGTTTTAAGCCGCAATATTTACCCCCCTATGATGACATTTTCAAGTCTTCTTTTACCTTCCACCGTCTTTGGAGGTAGTAACAGAGGAGTTACAGAGGCGAGACGGTTTCAGGAGTGGCAGTAGGGGGAGTGCAGCACTGTGTGTGTTCTTTATGCATGTCTGTCTGTTTGTATATGTGGAGCTCAAGCTTCTGAAACACCAAAGCGCAATGTGAATTCACAGACTGGGACACCAATATGACGCCATGTTTACATTGGTTGTTTCAACCTTTGCAGAGAGCTTGAACCTGTCGGCCACCTTAGATGATAGATACCTTTAACATGAATTCACTCGTGAATAACCCAATGGAAAGCTCATGTGAGAAGACCATTTTTATTAAGCCTAAATTTCAAATTTTTGTTTTTATTTGTCAACTTGATTTATGATAGATTGTACGGAAGCTCTGGAGGACATACATCCATATGTACATTTTATTTACCTCTGTTTTCCTGTTTTATTGAGTACATTTCTGTTGTTTTCTTGAGATCTCATCTTATTTATCTCCCTATTTCGGGTTAAATCATGTTTTTTTTCCCCGTGATAACAAATTAATTTCAGATGTTTCTTGATATTTCAAGGAATTAACTCAATATTACAGGAAAACCTGTGTTGTTATCCCGAGGTAACGACATGAATAAGACAAGATCTTGTGGAAAAGACCCTAAATTATTTGTTATCACAGAAAAACTGAGTTAAATCAAATGAAACTCAGGGAAATTTGCATTTTCATCATTCACAGTTCCTGTAATGTTGGGCTCTAGGGCGCTTTTAATTAAATTGAAATGTCTGGGAATTTAATGGAACAAGAATTGTAAATTAATTTATTGCAGATTAAGAGGTACAGCCTGACCCTCCAGGCAGAGGTTGGAGTGACGGAGGAGCGGTCGGAGGGTTTAAGGGATGGAGGAGGAGAGGGAGTAAGTTTCAGTTGAGTTAACTGGAAGCTTCTTTGATATTACTCACCGGGTGATTCATCGTCCTTGTGAGCTCTGAGTGACTCGACATGAAGTGAAACACTGAGATCATCCAGATATCTGCTTTTAAAACCAAGACAACATCAGTTCTGCTGTCTTTGTCTCAGAGAGGAGCTACCGATGCAGACCAATAATGACTGTACAGTGATCAATTAATCAAATTTAAGACAAGACAATGCAAGGCAGGACAGGGTAAAACAAGACTGGGCTTGTTGGAGAGATTTAATAAGACATGCCCAGACAGGAAAAAGTGAGAACAAGACAAGACAGGACATGATGGGACGCGTCTTTAATATCTGAGGTGAAATTATGAGAGGAATAGCAGCACACAGGTCCATTAGCAGACACCAAAATATGAACAAAATAACAACCTGTTTACATGATTTTCTCGATTTTGGCAGTGAATATTTTCTTTTTCTTTTTTAAATAGAATTTGCCCCATGGCAGGGGTGTTTCCAGAGGGGTGTCCAGGGGTGGCATGGGCCCCATCTTGAATTGTATTGGCCACCCCAGGTGTCTTAACTATGATTGGTCATTTGCCTTGCCAAAGGTGGGACTTCATCCATCGTTAAAGTTGAAATCCATCATTCAGGCTGTGTTGCAACAGGTAGCTCATAGTTTGCAGTTTGCAGATGGATGTAAATTTGTGTTTTTAGTCTTTGAGGAATTAAACTTAAAATATGTATATCTTGTCATTATCCTGTGTTACTTAAAAATCAATGCAATAAATGATCTTTATTCATGTGTGTGCTCACAACATTCAGGCCATCCCCTGCACAAGTCAGTGCCCCAGTTGGGCCACCCTTGTCCAAAAAGTCTGGTCAGTCCAATCAGGTGAATCTGGCCATGTAACAGCGAGGTCTGTGGATTGTACTTAATAGCTGGACATGGTTTCTGGTAAGAGACATTACTGTTTAGTGAGGGTGTAAAAAAAATACCCATGCACTTAAGTACCATTAAGTATCTCTAATCAATATGATTACTGTCTTAGGATAACAGGTAGTGGATATCTAGACATAAGAGACTTCCTCTTCCGGGTGCTGTGATAGTTTACAATCTGAAAACCCATCAGCGATTGTCTGACAATATTGAGGGCCTTTGTCCGCATCCATGTGCAGGGTGAAAAAGATTTATTAGCTTAATGATATCAGACAGAAACAGATGGGTCTGATGGGATTGTATCTCAACCAATTTCTCTTGTGCTCTTCACATGAGTTGCTCTCAGCAATTAAATGTATCGTAATGTTTTGAGTAATCATGAGATGCACAGTCAGATTCTAGCCAATACACAGTCTGCTGTTGAGTTTTTAAATCTACTTTTGGTTTAATTTGTTGAAGCTTTAGGCAACGAAAATCCCTTATTAGCCCTTTTCAGACGGACTTTTTTTTAACTAAGGCCGTAACTAAGCTCAGCTATTATCAATACAATGCAGGGATGGTGGGTGATGTCTCAGCCCAAGTGCTGTAGCATCCTCTTCCAATCATTTCTGTTGTGTAAATGATTGACAGGTGGCATGGTCACGCCCCCTGGATTTGCTGATCATTTTGGTTAAATTAATTCACCCCGCAGGCCGCTGACTTTTTACAAACAAACGACCAGTCTCTATCACAACACAGACTCCTTTACAGACTTTCACATGTGTGTATGTCCACTTACCTTCTCTGTAAACATTATGCCGGTAAATATCCAGCGAGAGCAGGCAACAGGTAACTGGTGCAGTTCACATAACGACCTGCGGTGTCACTACAAATGCAGTATTTATAAGTTACATATCTCCTTTAACCTTTGACATGGTTATTTACGGAACAGGATTAGGGCCGGGAGAGGACAGGAGAAATAAATAATGAAAGGAGGATTTTTTCCATTATGCACTTTGAGGATAAAAGTAAACATTTGAGAAATTTCTTTAATAAAGTTTAAATAGAATTTTGAGAATAAGGTCGAAATTATTATTATTATTATAATTATTAAATCATTATAATTATTAATTATTATAATTATTATTATCATAAATGTCGAGAAAAAAGTCTGAATGTTGATCAAAAAAGTGGAAATGTCTGAAATAAAGTTGTTTTTGACAATAAAGTTGAAATATCGGGAAATAAATCAAAATGTCGAGAATTAAGCTGAAATACGATTTTACGAAATTTCGACTTGCTCGAAACTGTATTCCAATTTTTAATCCCAACATTACAACTTTTTTCTTGAAAAGCATAATTAAAAATTCTCTCTATATGTATTTCTCAATGCTTGTCTCTTATCCTTTCCCGTAGTTATTGCATTACAGCACACAGTCTATGATAGCACATTCATATGCTTTATTGTCAAAAGCAAAACAGAAACAGGGTGTACTGTCTCTTTAAGGCCTGTCACTGCTCGCTCCACAGCTAGCCTCCCGCTGCTTGTTATTTTCTGCAACAAGATGGCTGTCGTCCCTGAGAGCAGAGTCCTCACTTTCAGCGTTTTTAAATGGAGCTCTTACTCCTCTACATATTTACCAGAGTGAGTAATAAAGTAGTTGTCTGTCCTACCGTTTGCATTGGCTGTTGTGTTTACAGGTGGTCTTTTATCGCCTCAGTGCACCTGTGTGTGTCCCCACCGGCCCGACTGGCCTGATGTTAGCTCGTCTGCGCTCTCACCCAGCTAGCCTAGCTTTAGCCTTGTCAGCAGCGGTGGGTGCGCTCGGTTTTAATACTCAGTCGCCCGATACTGAAGCGGCTGAACGTGTTTGGGAGCGTTTGTTGAAAACTTTATCATTTATTATTAATTAAATGAATTCCTAGACACTATTTTTATATTTCTAAGACGTATGTAGAGTCTTATCGGTGTCATTTTGGTATTTCACCTCATATTGTGACTTTTCTGCACCGCCCCTCCGTTTTATACGCTCTGTAAGCGTAAGTTTATACTTTCCTCTCTTGGCAAAGGATCGTTTTGTATCACCAGCTCACATTACTAAGTAATAACACAGCGTGAGTCATATCGTTGCTTCCTTTGGGCTTATAAAGTGTCGAGTTTTTAAATGGTATTGAGTCCGGTGTTCCCGTGTGTATAAATGTAACGCACACATGAGCTACCTGCAGCTAAAGTAGCGCGCTAGCTCCTGTTATCTAACCAAATAGCTCCGCGTTAGCATCTAAAGCTAACCAGCTTGCTATCCGGCTATATGAAACTGATATTATAACACTTAACAGTGTGTTTGCGTACTAAACTAGACACGCTAAAATATAATAATGTTGAAGTGAAGTCACGGATATATTCAGAGTATTCGCCTGTTGCTCGTTCAGCTGCTCCAACAACCAGGTTAGCTGTAGTTAGCTGTTTATTGATAACTAGTCAACAACAACAACATCAACTCCTGTCACTGTTACATTGACTCTTTACACCTTCTAGAGTAATCTCCCCGCACTGTTACTGCAGTTGTTTTGTTTTAATGATAACGGTCTCTGCTGGTTTATAACACACCCCTTTTTATTCTGCCCGCTGATTCCAGGTGATGTCATGTTACCTGTACCATCAGTGTGTGAGTGTGTAGGTGTGACCTGCGGTGTAAAAGCGCTTTGAGTAGTAGAGCTGGGTGTTGTCCACAACCTCAATTCAATTCTTCAGGTCACAATTCGATATCGGTTCTCTGTACCTCTCTGGATTTCATTATCAATATTGAGTTATGAAAAGAATAATTGCAATGCATTGATGAATCGATTTTTTTCAACCAGACCTATTGAGTAGTCAGAAGACTAGAAAAGCGCTATATAAGCTCAAATCCATTCCCCATGTTAAAGAAGCCCATATTGTGCCCTTTTTGGGAGTCGTATATTTAATCTATGTACCTACTTTGTTTTCATGTACTGCTCCTCCTTGCTCCCTCTCTGCTCTGAGTCCTTCAGCTGCACTCTGCTGAGCCCACACTGTTAGACACCACGTGGGCCAAGTCTGCTCTGATTGGTCTGCCGATCCGCTCTGTCGTTATTGGTCAGTTGCTCAGCATACGTCTCGGAAATTTCAACATGAGCTGCAGGGCTTGCCACAACGAGCCAATGGACTTAGATCAGTGATCTCACACTGACAATGACATCGGACTGACACATTGTTATCGAGGGGGGCTAGAACTGAGCGTTACATGCAGCTAACAGGAGGACGTAGGAGAAGCCACGTTTCTGCGGACTTTACATTTTTGCACATAGATGTGCCTAAACATGCACAGGACACATGGAAAACACACTAAAGAGCATATAAAAGCAGAATATGGGACCTTTAATATAATCTGACATGTCTCAATTTTTGTGGGTACTGACATGACTCCCACAGATGAATTAACTAAACCCTTATTTTTATGTATTTTTTAGGAATATCTTGGTAGACAAACCTAATGATCAGTCTTCAAGGTGGTCGTCTGAGAGCAACTACCCTCCACAGGTAAGTCTATTGCTAAAGCGTTTTATTATTTTTTTTTTTTTTTTGCATATGCACATTTTGAGAGGATTTCAGGAAGACTGCTCCTGAAATCCTCCTGATCTGGTTGTTCACACATGCACCTCACAGTCTGTGTGAGACGGGAGGTGGGGGCGGGGAAGTCCCCTGAGACAAGACACAACGTAAGAAGAATGATGCGGAAGTGGTGGGCGAAGCGATAATATCATGAGAATATTTGCCTTTATATCAATGCTGTTTGTAGTTCAACAGAATCACAATAAAAATGCACAGAGATCGCACCGGTCGCGTACACACACAGTTTATGGTCGTGCACCGATTGCAGGGATTGAACGCCACCACCCCCTCTCGCTCACTCAAGGTGAACCCTACTGATTTTACGCTGTCGAGCTGTCACTTCAGCTCGCTCGTATTTTCTGCCGGAAAAAATACAAGTAGGCTGGCGGGAGAAACTTTGGATAATCAGAGGGAGAGATGTTTCTTTCCTCCTTGGATACAAATATTGGTGTTTGACATCTCGTGTTAAATATGAATGTTGTTCTGCACGCTCTGTTTTGCGTGGACATATTTTTCCTGCTATTTCGTCCTTTGCTAATCACCTCCCTGATTAGGTGGCGACTGCAGGGTTTGCTAACTCACTGCCTGAGGTAAAGTTGATAACTTTGTATCTCAAATTTAAACAATGACATTACAACTTACAACAAAGATTTCCATTTGCTACTCTTTTTGAGCTGCCTTACTTGCAACACTTGACCTCAGACACTTGAGGCTTCATGCTGATTATTTGCACGGTTAATTTACATATTGTTTGTTAATTGGAGGGTGTGCTGCTGGTTCAAGAAGTACAGAAACCATTCAATCATAGGATGTTCAAAGTTTGTTGTGAGTGAGAGAGATCAGTGTGGTACAGTCTGTTTGTTACAATCATGTTAGAGAGGCAGTGAGTTTTGACTTTATCTGATTTTAATTCACGTGTTAACTTGTGTCAGTTTTACTTTTATGTATTTAATCAGAGTCTGCTGCAGAAAAAGAAACTGGCAACACATCAAAGAAAGTATCAGGAAACAAAAGATCTGCAGATTTTAGATCAGTATTTAGAATGATGTTGTGATCTCTCTTCAGCGTGTTGTGAGTAGCAGAACCAGCAGTGTTTCATCTTCACACCACGAAGAAAACCTTTTTCTCAATGTGTCCTTTGAACTCGTCGACCTGCTGCAGGAGCGTTGTTGCTGGCTCCGTTTGAGGTTTTATCTGAAGGTTTGTATTTCGTGGCGGCGAGAGGAAGTGAAGCTTTTCATAACAATCGTTTAACCACTCTCAAGTTTCTAGGAAAGAAGCTGTGTGGTGTCCTGACACTCAGAACAACACTAGTAAGAAAAAACAGACCATGTGATTTCTTGATCGAGGATTGTAACTGGTAGTTATCGTATCATAGTCACATTTGCATCATCAAGCCAAATGACAACAGTTTTTTTTCTTTTATGTTTTGTATTTGTGCATGTTTGGTCTGGGCGCTGCACAGTGGTTGGTGCTGTTGACTCACAGTGAAAAGGTTCCTGGTTCCCCATCGGACAGGACGGGAGTTTGCATGTTCTCCTCGTGCATGTGTGGGTTCTCTCCGGGTACTCCGGCTTCCTCCCACAGTCCAAAGACATGCTCGTTAGGTTAACTGGTGATTCTAAAATTGTCCGTAGGTGTGGCTGGTTGTCTGTCTCTATATGTCAGCCCTGTGATTGACTGGCGACCAGTTCATGGTGTAACCCCACCTCTCGCCTGATAAGCTGGGACTGCAGTTCACCGCAACCCTGAACGGGAAAAGTGGTATGGATAATTGATGTTTGGTCTGTTGACAGACTTCCCGTCTTTGTTTATTAAAGCAATGTCAGTATGAGATCTGAAAAATTAAGTTTGTTTGAATTTTTGATAATTGAAGTGGTCGGCATTTTCACTGTTTTCCCTCTCATAATACCGAAATAAAGCTGAGGTGGAACGACTTGGAAAGAACGAGTTGTAAATTATTGATCTCTGCTGAGGAGCATGCTCACACAAAGTTGAAGCCGTCAGAATCCATAAAAACAGCTCATGTATGTCATCGTTCGGAGGGAAACTCCCAATGTTGTCAAATGTTATTCATATCCAACCAGCACAGTAATAAGAGACACAAACACCGCGACTAACCAACACATGAGAATCAAATCGCTTTAATCATTAGTTCGTCTCTCATTAACTGATTACAAAGAAGTGTTGGCCAAAACACGCAGTGATGTGTAAATTATGACCTCGGAAATATGAGTCACAAGCAGGCACATGATGAGATGATCAGGCTGTTTTCACACATTGTGATTCACAAGAAAGTGGAGCAAAAAATCCAAATTTTTTGGTTAACGAGTCACTCCCTGCTAAGTGCAAAGGCTAGCTCTTTAACTCAGTAGAATTGTCAAATGGAGCAGCAAGGCTTCAGCCAGTGTCACAGATGACTGGAGTAGATCCTGATGTATGGACTCATTCAAAAAAACTTTGATTCATGAATCCAGAATCGTCTTGAATCGAAAATGGATTCTAAATCGAATCGACCAGATTCCCAGTCCTACTACGAAATACACATTTTACACGCTACCGGCGCCCCGTGCAGGCCTAATTCTGAATTGCTCTCAAACTTTTTCAGTCTGCTTTAGAGGATGCTATAGTCCTCTAAGCAGACAGCCTGGGTTTGAATATGACTTGTGGCTCCTTTCCTGCATTTCCTCTCTCTCTCTCTCTCTCTCTCTCTCTCTCTCTCTCTCTCTCTCTCTCTCTCTCTCTCTCTCTCTCTGGTTTTTCGATGCAATCCACTGTCATGTCCCTCAAATTAGGCGTGGTTTTGCAAGGTATTGAAGTTTCGAGAAGTCTGAAATTTGGACAAGCTCAGTTCATCCGGTGGGAGTCGAATCAAATTAAATAATTAATATGAATGAAATGAAATTGAACGCTTCAGGATACATGAATGAATTCAATTTAAAGTGAATGTAAGACAGCTGACTGGAGTCACTGGGGAATAGTTAAGTATTGTTTTTGGTTGTAGCTCAGTATAATGGCTAAGAAAGTTAATCTGGAGACCTTTTGCAGCGCTCTGGAGCGACACAGAGTGTTTATATTTCAGGATATCCGCAGCTTTACAGAGAAATGCCCATAAAACCGAAGGATGCTTTTCATGAAATGTTTTGAGCAACACCGTGAAAGTAGTCATTTTGAATGTAGATCTTGGTACAAAAATAAATCAATACTGAGATGATTTAACAGGAGCAGGTTGGATTGTACTTGTTCATGTGCTGTTTTGGTCTATATCATTAAAGTAATCGAGTACAGACACCCAGGATGTCATGGATTCATTGCATTTGTCTCTTTTATGAGTGCATGTAAAAACATTGATGTCTGGGGTTTGTTAAATTCCTGCTTTCCTGTGGAACATTTAATCAATGTTCCTGCCTGCGGCCTCCTCTCGTTCTTGGCTAATGGCTGCTGGTGATTTGTCAGTAGACGTCCCTGCTTGTTAGAGCAACCATGACATGTGGATGATGCAGCTCATAGATGTAATGGCTCTTACCTGATGCAGTAAATTGACCCTGCTGTAGTCGTTTGGATAATGAGCGAATCTCTTCACAGTGGCTGGTCAGGCCATGAGCGCCGGCTGCTTCCTGCAGTCCTCGTCTACACACGTTTACCTTCTGTCTGTTTCATCTCTGCTCTCTGTTTTTTCTCTCTTTTTCTCTCCAGTTTTTAATCTTGAAATTGGAACGGCCGGCAATCGTTCAGAGCATCACATTTGGGAAGTATGAGAAGACTCACGTCTGCAACCTGAAGAAGTTTAAAGTATTTGGAGGGATGAGTGAAGAGAACATGACAGAGCTTTTGTCCAGGTGAGATGTCAAAGCTAATGCCACTCTGCCACTGTTTATTTTTTATGTGATTACTGCAGTCTGCAAACGCAGAGTTTCAGCAGCTTCTATTTGAAATGCAATATGCCACAGAGATTGATTATATCTTGTTGGGGCCGGATGCTTAGCCTGAGAGAGAGGTCTGCAGCAGAAGATAACTAAAGGAGGAAGAATATCTCAGAGGCAATAAAATATCTACAAGGGAGCTCGATTATTGATGTCTGCTATTGATTTTCCTCGACCTGGTCTCATAGTATTACTTCTGAATCCACTGGATTGTTATTGGTGTCAACACTTTTGCAAAAGGCAATTTTCCTGCACAGTGACTTAATGGTTTCAGGATTAGCTTTGTGGTTCCAGTGCAAACTAACCGACTAATAAATGTGTCAGTTTATAGACTGCAGTTCAATGCATGGTTGGGTAGGTGAGCAGAGTTCAGTTTGTGACTTTCATGGATTTAAATGAATTTTTAAAAGGACCTTGCCTGCAGTAGGTACTCATAGAACTGGAGTTACATCCAGTAGCTGAACACAGCGCTCTGTAAGGGAGTTTCAGTTTGCAGCTTCAGCTACATCAGGCTGTTATGTTACTGACGATACATTTCTGATTGTTGTTACCCATAATAACCAGCTGATACCTGCATGATAAAGACACGGTGAGATGGAACGGAGAAAAGTCATGTTTCGGCGGATCATGTGTGGCCCGAATCGTCAGCATCCAAAGCTGCTGTTGGCTCTCAAAGGGAGATGCAGGAGGATTTCAATTAATCTGTGTGTGTCATTAAGGCAGCTGCAGTTACTATAAAGCACTGTGGGAAACACTGTAATTGCTGGCATTATAGAATATAATTTTTGTCTTATCATTCACATGTAAATGTAGTGGATGTTCAACAGTGTATGTTGAAAGACATCTGTGTAATTGCTGGATCTCACCATCTGTTTCCCCTCCATCACCAGTCTGCCAGTTTGTAAGAGAAGCTGACTGAATTGTCAAACTCACAGACAAGGTTTTGATAAATGGCATATCCAAAATTCAGCAGCATATGGACGCAGTTGGCATCTCAACCAAGTACTTCATTTTGTAAAAGCAGCTTTTTTTCCCCTTTTCTTTCAGTGGCCTTAAGAACGACTACAACAAGGAAACATTCACCCTAAAGCACAAGATCGATGAGCAGATGTTTCCCTGCAGATTTGTCAAAATAGGTGAGAGCTGCTGAGGTCTGAAAGTAACGGTGCGCCTTGAAGATGTCTGCCTTTTATAACCTTTTCCTGCTCTGTGTCTCAGTGCCTCTGATGTCGTGGGGTCCGAGTTTTAACTTCAGCATCTGGTACATCGAGCTGCATGGTATTGAAGATCCTGACGTGGTGCAGCCCTGCCTTAACTGGTACAGCAAGGTGAGCACCTGAGGGAAGCCTGCAGGATTACAGACAGAGTTTTACAGATTTAAATAAGGAGGCCTGAATCTGTCATTAGCTGGATTCATCAGCCTGCAGAGGTACAACCAGTACCTCTGCCCTGTTAGGAAGACACCTCAGAGGTACTTCAGGAACTCGGCTTGCAGCCACACCTGCTTTCTTTTCTCAAACGTGTGATAACCAGCGATAGTACATGAAAGCCACATCTGCAGCCGTCGCACATAAATTTGAATGGTTTCATTAACTTGTCATCCCATGTTCCAAGTCTCAGTTCCTTAAAATGCAGCTGATCAAAATGAACTTAATCTGAACTCTTTCATGTCATATGTCATGCTCGATCACAGCCTGACCACAGTTCATGTTTTTCTACACTCTGTAAGCATTATGGAATATTTTGGAGATGAATGCAAACGTTTGTACTTTTTAAGGACTGCAAGATTTAATGTTTTGTTGTCGATTTCTTTGTGAGATGGAACAGTATGATGATTTTAATGCACAAGGTTTTCAGGGGGGTGGGTGTTTACTTTTGTTATGCCGATGCTGGGGGTCGGGCAGGAGTACTCTAGTACTCGTTTGGACTTTAGTATTCATTAAATGTAAGATAAGGAATATACATTAATGTCCCCGTAGGGATATTTGACTTGGCCTCTGTCCTTCAGATTCAAAGAGGGAAAAAAAAAAACACGCCATGATACATCTCAGCCAAACAGCAAGAGTACATATAACAAAACTCCAAAATGAAACAACGTAAAACTGGAGCACAGGACCGGACTCTGTGTCGTAACTAAGCTCAGCTGTCATTACGTCTTTGTACATTCATGTTGACCGAACAAGGCAATGCAACCGCTGTTCATAAATTTCTGCACAGATCCATCTTGCAAAACTAATAGATCTACACAGCTGCAGATTATGTTCCAGGATTTCAGTCGGACATCGTCAATCTATTACGACCACCAGAAAGGGGACCAGCAGCCGAAAGAGAGAGTGATATTGGAACTAATCAAAATAAAGAGTGCACACTTAATAGGCTCAGGTACCACCTACTGTGCCGCACCATGGTTGTCCCCCCTCCCTAGTCCCCTACTGACCTGAACTCACATTGTTACCTCTCGTTCATTACGTCATTACGCTGTAAATATGACACACATCGCTTTATGTCATCATGAAGCGTCTCAGGGTCAGCACAAAGGAGAACAACAGAGAACATTACTGGGACTTTACTGACTTTGTGGCTTATTTTGGGTGGCTTGGGTCTGACATGTCCCTCACTTTGATTTTACATCATGTCCACATTTTGTTCCTGTGCTTCTGCTTGGGCAGGAGCAACCGTGCGGTGCCGAAGCACACCTCTTCAAAACCGTGTCAGGGTCAAGGTAGTGTTACAGGTCAAACATGAGACTTTTGAGCTGGTCTTGGAGTTTGTTCAATACTATTCATTGATGTTTTTCAACAATCTCATCCAGTTAGTATTACAAACTACTGAGCTGCAGTCCAATTCTCAGTTTTAAGGATCTCTGTCCTGTTTGAGTAACCTACTCTGAGCATGTGGGGCTAACAGTTTTGTGTTTTGTGAACTTGATTTGATCCGTTGCAGTACAGGGAACAGGAAGCTATCCGCCTTTGCCTCAAGCACTTCAGACAGCATAACTACACAGAGGCCTTCGAGTCCCTGCAGAAGAAGACTCGGATAGCACTGGAGCACCCGATGCTCACACACCTGCACGACCGGCTGGTGCTGCAAGGAGACTTTGACGCGTGTGAGGAGCTCATAGACAAAGCTGTCAGAGGTATTGTACAGAAACAGCAGAGATTAAAGCAGATTTAAAGACTTCTTCAGTCTTTTTTAATTTTAATCTTGGATGATACAAATGTGTGATTTTTGCTTCATTTATGCTGATTTTCTTTTCTCCATATGTGGTGCTCTTCCCTCCTGGCTAGACGGTTTGTTTAACCAGTATATCAGCCAGCAGGAGTACAAGCCCAGGTGGAGTCAGATCATCCCTAAGTGCAACAAAGGTACAAGCGCCCAAGAAATCAACCGAGACGACATGAACAGTGAGAGCATCCATTCTCCATCTGTCAATCAAACATCGCTCTGACTGCTTTGTGGCCTTGTAGCTGAATCTGTTCCCTCTCTCTTCCTCGTGTCGTCCCCCCCCCCCCGCTCCTCCCATCGCCCCACCATTTCTCCTCTGCGTCATCCTGCCCCTTCCGTCCCCTCCCCCTCCTTCGCAGGTGACGGTGACGACAACAGGCCCGGGATGAGGGGTGGACATCAAATGGTCATTGACGTGCAAACCGGTGAGACCCATGCAGCCTGTATTATGACTCTGCTGTTTTGTCGACACTGTGACTCATCTCCTCCTACTCTGACTCAAAGCTCTATTACTGTTTAATCAAATTAACCCTCCCTGCTCGTCCGCTCCACCTCCTCCGTCGATAACAGTCCCTGAGGGTATTTCTCCTCCAAGAGCGTATAAATCACGACTTTTGTTTGGACGCAGACACTCCACCATTGTTTTTTTTGTACAGTATCCAGCAAAAATGTTCATGGTGTACTTCCCCGCTAGCCATCTGAAACACAAAAGCCTTGATTGTGTGTGTGTGAGCGTGATGCTGCGTCTGCTGAGCGGAGTGAAGGTCTTGCCTCCCTCTGCTCTGTGTGTCTCGGGCCACACACACACACACACACACACACACACACACACACACACACACACACACTGCCTGCTGTGTTTGCTGAGAAGCAGTTGATAGTAGAAGTTGATACAGAGGATCCTAAATGATTTCTTTGTCTTCGGTCCCGTCCCGTCATGATCCTGATCTCATTTCGCTTCCTCTAATTATTTTCCATTTTCATTGTTATCGGGCGTTTTTAGCCCAAATATCTGTGTTTGTGTCTCGATATCAGGCATTTCTTTCAAAGTCTAAACGTTAAGACTTCTGGAAATTATTCATACATACTTAGTCCGGTTGCGTCCATTACCCTGATTGATTTTGCCTGCATGCCTTTGATAGCTGAGGTTCAACACATTTAGTTGTTAGGTTGTCCTTAATTGCATACTTGTAATAAATGTCTAGTATGATCAAAAGGGGATGTGATGACATTTTATACACGAAAGGTCTGAGGTGAACATCAGCCGTAAACCTCAGTTATTTGTATTTTATTTGTTTATATATCAGGGACATGTGTTAAGTAGACGCCATGCAGACAGGTTTCCAGCCGTGGCTGACTCCCTCTCTGATTTTAGTTCAGTCGTAGTTTAAATCATAATGTGCAGAAAAAACTCTTCTTCTGCTGTTTCCTGTTGAATTATTTCTCACCAAACATGAACTTTCAATATTTTGGTGATCAAACCTCAAAGTATGAAACACCGTTGGATGTAAACTTAAACTCGACTTTTTTGGCAGAAGCATGAAACTGCAACGCTATAATACTGGTAATCATGATGCTTTTACCTGAAGAACCTGTCTACCTCTACATAATAAAGCGGAGCTTTTCACCTAAATTTTGAAGAAGCTTTCGATGGGCCTGATCACGCAGAGACGCATCGTGCAAGCAGCCCTGTTTCCACCAAGTAGTCTGGTTTGGTTCAGTACAGTTTGGTACAGTTTGGTACAATAAACCCTGAAGCTGGGCTGTGTGTGCATACGGGTTCAAATAAAATCAGTGGGGAACAAATTAGATTTTTTTACAAATGTTGCTTTGCTCCGAAACAAAGAGCGAGAAAAATGGTATTAAGAGTGACGGTAAAGTTTCCCGCTTGATTTGATTGGCTGCTCTGGCCATAAGTGACATTGAAGCGCATCACGACTCTGCGTCTTAAACTGAAAACATTTTTTACTTCACACGCTCAAAAATGGCTAGAAAATGGGTCGTGCCGCAACAAAGAAGAGAGCCCGCCATACATTAGGAAAACAACGGTTTTGCTGGCGACGCAGTCTTTTTAATCTCTAGCTATGCCTCTACCTCTTACATCCACCAGTAGCCTCTCAAGCACTACCAGTGTTTTAACATTTTGAAGAGCACCATCCACTGATTAACACCAAAGCATGCATTCAAAGTGTGGAAAAACTGTCATCTTTAAGTGATTGCAGAGCAGTAAATACAACTTATCCTGTTCCTCTGCACAAAACAAACCTATTGTTGGTCTGCAGCAGTGACTCATTGAGTACACAACTCATGCTCTGGCCTGGATTCTTGTTTTTGGAATTATAGCAGTAATGGCACAACTTTTGTTCCTCCTACACAACACTCTGATACAATCACAACTTCCCACAACTCCCATCTGCCCGGGCTTCAGCAGCCTTTATCTGACCCCAACAAAGATCTGGCAGCCGGCTCCTTGAACCAGTTCAGGGCGTGGAGGGATTGTTTCTGACGCCGATACTGTCTTGTCGTCAGTGGTGGAAATGTTGAGACAAAAGCAAAAAGTGCAAAACATTGGAAAATTCTGATACAATACAAAAAGGTTAAACACATCAATGCACATCCCCAAAGAAATATAAGCCCCTATGTGTGACTTTATTTTTACAAGGTAATCAGTACCTGCATCTACATCCATGTTTGTTAAACTGGTGACTGAGTTTGCATATAGACACATTTTTTGCAAACAGAAATATATTTGCCTCTGTGGCTCGATCAGAGTTTACGCTGGACTTTTCTGTTGAATTGGCTAATTTGGCTGTTAACGTCAATACTCATCTTCTCGCCCGGCCTGGGTCTTGGTCTTGACTCTTGGTCTCGGCCCCTAAATGTCTTGGTCTTGGAGCACTCTGGTTTCGGGTATGTCTTGGCCTCAATTAATGTGATCCTGACTACAAAACTACAAACTTGAAACAACAGCATTAGAAGGTTCATCTTTAATATGAGCGGCTCAATCGAGGGACCTACAAGCAGACGTCTCCTTCCCTTATCTCTTGAAGCGCGGTGGGAAGCGAGGGGAGACTGGACTTCAGTGTATCGATTGTGATCTCAGACGGATTTTAAAAAAAAAAGAAAAAGTGCTAAAATGTTAGGCAGATATGTCCCATGTGTAGGAAACCAAATATTTAAAATGCCATTATTTATTTGCTAATTGTTGTTTATTTGGCAGTCTGACATTTTGGCCTTTGATATCTTCATCTGCCGGACAGCTGCCCGTGATACCGGCCAAAAGCTGGTAGCTACGGGCTAACGTAAACCCTGGTGTCGATACATGTGTCTACAAAAACACGGGTTGGTGACAATTCAGCTCCCCAATTGGAGCTTTAGTTTCTTATTGAAAGCGTGACTTTAATCCAATGATTCTTAGTGACTGTGTGAACAATTTTTCACCGGAACAGAATACACGTGAAGAGAGGGTTTTTGATGTTTGTGTTGCTGCTACAGAGTATCGTTGTTGACCCTCAGTGTTTGCTCCTCACAGAGACCGTGTACCTGTTCGGAGGCTGGGACGGCACACAGGACCTGGCTGACTTCTGGGCTTACAGCGTTCAGGAAAACCAGTGGGCATGCATCTCCAGAGACACAGAGAAAGAGGTGAGGGTCAGGAAGATTTGAGTCTACAATTCTACAATTCACAGAAATTCCGAACATAAATGTTATAAACTTCTATGTAGGGGCGGAAAGTTGTCGTAATGTTTCCTCTTTAAGGCTTGTCCTCGCATGTAGAGCATAAAAAGTTTTGACATTTCTCCACGGCTTATCAAGTGTAAACGGAAATGTTTGACTTGACTTTGTGATAGCTATGGAGTAAAGAGAGGTGAAGAGGTCAAAGATGACTCTTTTATTTAGATCCTCCCCAGTGTCTGAAATGGTTGGAAGTCTGAAGCCTTTTTCCAGACTGCTTTATTGCATAAAAGCATAATGTTTTTCCACTCGTTGAATAATTTTTACGAAATCTATCTGTTCATCATTTAAACCCCAAAATTGTGAAAACGGGCCCTCTAATTACCTCAAATCACCTGTGAGATTCTGTTTTCTGTCTGAGAATTAAATGCTAAAGACGTGTGTGTCCATCTCCTGTGTTTTAATCAGAGCGGTCCGAGTGCTCGCTCCTGTCACAAGATGTGCATCGACTCTCAGCGGCGGCAGATCTACACGCTGGGTCGATACCTGGACTCCAGCGTCCGGAACAGCAAGTCTCTAAAGAGTGACTTCTACCGCTACGACATCGACGCCAACACGTGGACGCTACTCAGCGAGGACACGTCGGCTGACGGAGGGCCGAAGCTGGTGTTTGACCATCAGGTAGCTGCAGCCTGTTTCTGTTTGAACTCTTTTATTAAACTCATTATTAAAGGCAGGACAAAGGAAAAGTAAAAAGCAAACCAGAATATAACGGTTAAACTAAATAAACTTGATAATTAAGGACAATAAAAATGAAGCTAAATGTTGCCTTGCTTTAATCCTTCCATAAGAATAGAGGACATCACCATCCTGCTTATCTTCCTGTAACGCCCTTTTTGACCTCTCACACTTCCTTTTTCCTCTCATCTTTTTCCTCCTCGCCCTCTGATCCTTCCCTTCCTGCAGATGTGCATGGACTCGGAGAAGCACATGATCTACACGTTTGGCGGCCGCATCCTGACATGTAACGGCAGCGTGGAGGAGAGTCGGACGTCAGAGCCTCAGTTCAGCGGCCTGTACGCCTTCCACTGCCAGGCGGGGACGTGGAGCCTCTTACGGGAAGACTCGTGTAACGCCGGGCCGGAGGACGTCCAGTCACGCATCGGACACTGCATGCTCTTCCACACTGTATGTTACACATCCGATTCCAACACTGTGCTTCCTGTTAATATTTGAGCTTCAATATTTATAGTTATTTTTGTTTTTCTCAGAGAAACCGCTGCCTTTACGTGTTTGGGGGCCAGAGATCAAAGACGTATCTAAATGATTTCTTCAGCTACGACGTGGATGGTGACCATGTCGAGATCATCTCTGACGGCACCAAGAAGGACTCAGGCATGGGTAAGCTCGATATTGTCTTTGTATATAAATAAATAGTTGGATAATTTAGCATCAGGTTGATTAAATGCAACTCTCATCTCCCCGTGTACACCTCGTGTTTTTCATCTAGCAGAAAAGCACTGGCTGTGTGCTTGAGAGAGCTAGCATGAAGTGTTTTGCTGTGAGAATTAAAGTGCTGCATGTCCGTCCTGTTTCTATGACAACAGTCTGTTGACAACGGCCGCAGTATCACCAACACGGCTCCGTTGCTTTTTACAGCAAGGTTTATATTTGAGATGGTTTATTTCCCGATCTGACATGGAGCGAGGAGGATGTGGGTACAAGACACGATCTGTAGGAGGCTAAAATACAGGGGATTATCATAAATTTTGAAAAAAGCGCCCTTGACGTCAACAACGCCTTTTTGAAAGGTCGAAAGATTTTCAACTTGAAGCACTCAGAGCGGCCATATAGCGAATGTAAGGAGTTTAAAAAAAAAAGATGTTGGGCGCTGCACTTTTTGTCCAGGAGGTCGTCTGCTGTTGCAAACGCTCGCTCCTCGTTTGAAAATAAATTGACGCTGGCGCTCAGAGAAAAATGGTGGACACGGGGCCTAAGTGTTCTTGACTGATGGCTCGATTTAAAATCTTTCAAGGCCTCTTATTTTATTTCCCACCACCTGAGGCTTGATGTGGCTGTGAGTGTTTTTGTGTTCATCCTCTCTGGTGCCTTGTGGGTATTATTTAACACTAACTCAGATAACTCTGAGGCTCCATCAGATCATGACAGACACCTCTCTGATGTGTTCTCTGTGTTTGCTGGCTTCTCTGCTCCTTTCAGAGGAGGATGTGACAGATCCTTTTTCTTTAAAAGCTCCGCCAGCAGACACGCACTTCCTGCCCCGACACACAGATTGACAGGCTGCCGCGAATACAGTTTAAATAACCCTCTGTCTGCCGGGCCTTCACCTCTGCGCTCCCAGAACCAGGCGAGGTGAGAGAGAATCTGGACGAAGGGAGACAGAAACTGAAGAATTGAAGAGGAGTGAATCAGAGCAGGAAAGAAAGAACAGAGTGTGTTTTGGCAGGAAGGAAGCAGGACGCCCGAACAGTTCTTTCTGTCTCATAATCAGAGTCAGATGTCGACGAGTTCTGCAGAAGCTTTTTCGTCCTGTTTGTCGTCATGTTCTGACTTCGACACCAGACGTGGCACCCAGGCTGCTATCAGTCTGTCCATCCTACTTTGAGTCATGTCGAGGAGAGGTGATTTAGTGGATATTGGTGTGATTATTAAAATGATGTGGATGTTGCCCTGCAGCAGAAGCACTGTGCAGAGTCTCTGCTTTGCCTCTGAATTAAAACCAGTTGAAGTGTAGTCAGATTTTTTGTTGATGGATCCCAGTCGCTGTCTGTTTGTGGTTCTGTGAAGATGGTTGGTTAGATTAGTGTCTCATTCTGTTTTGTCTTTATGAGAATCTTCTGCAGAGAAAAATGCTAAAACCAATCAGACGAGATCCTGAGAACTAATCTGCTCAGAGTAAAGAGTTTAGTCTCCGTGTTTACACAATGGAACAAACCTGCTGAACTAAAGTCTCAATCCAGTCAAAGTTTATTATGTAGCTAAATAAGATTTATATTGTTGACTTTAGTAAACAGAGAGTTGGTTTTGGCTCGCACTTTAATCGCTTTTCAATCTGTTTTATGGCGATGAAGTTTTGTTAGAGATTGTAAAACAGATGTGGTCTAAAAGTTCAGGGCATGTCATACGTTTAGCAGAGGCCTCTCTTTTCAGACGAGGCAACAAAGGAGAAGTAAAGGAGACTGAGCCGACAAGCCGGGGAGTGTTTTGTAGTCGAGTTTTGTTCTCTGTAACGAGACAAGACAAAAACAAATCGTTTGCAGAGGGCAAGACAGAGATTCCAAATCAATGAATTTTGAAGAATTTGAGATTCTTCCTTTGAGGCATTTTTAATGCAAGGTGTAAACATCGTATTTAAGTGTAAGCTGCTTCCATCCACAGCCGATTTCCCAGGATGGATGTTAATGCAAGGTGTAAACAGGGAAAAGTGTAGGGGTCAAGTGTACTCAGATCCGGGCCTGGGTCCCTAGTGTGAAACCACCCTTACTGTGCTGGTACCACCCTCCATGCAGGTTATCATGAAGTTCACTTTGTTCTTATTTCTTCTCTGTTTGAAAAAATGCAACCCAAGAGATGCATTGAGGTTATGCAATCTGTGATCTCACTAGTATGAGGCATGCATGTCGTCCTACCACACACATATACATCTATTCTTTCAATCATCAAACTGTAGATCTGCTCTAATTGATAACCGACACAGTGCAGCCACAGCAGGCCTCTGAAGAACAACAGTGTGTCGGCGTTTCCATCATATCGAGCTGAGTTTGCATTCTGCTCGCTTTGTCCTTGCAGGTCCTTGTTGCCATGGCAGCTAGTTGCTGTGATATTAAGGATTTATATTTGCTCTTGTTACTTAATCTTGTTTTTTTTTGTGTTTATAAGGGTTGTTTTCCTCCATGCTTACAGGAAATTTAGAAAAAAATCCACAAAATGATCACATACCTGTTCAGACGGAGTCTAAGCTGCTGCTGTTGTTTTATGTTTTTATTTATTCATCCACCTTTTTGTTAATTCATTACTTGTTTCCCCCTCCACAGTGCCGATGACAGGCTTCACGCAGAGAGCCACCATCGACCCTGAGCTGAACGAGATCCACGTCCTGTCAGGCCTCAGCAAGGACAAGGACAAACGGGAGGAGAACGTCCGCAACTCCTTCTGGATCTACGACATCGCCCGCAACAACTGGTGGGAAAAACGAAACAACAAACAAACACACACGTGACACAGCAACAACAAGAGAGCACACACACACACAGGCCTGCAGGAAAGCCCCATCTGCAGCAGCTCTTTGCAACAGACATCTTCTTCACCACAACAACAAACAGCCACACACATTTGTCACATTTCAAGGCATTTCCTGACCTCTCAGCCCTCCACCAGGGAACAGCATGTTCCGTGTGTGTGTGTGTGTGTGTGTGTGTGTGTGTGTGTGTGTGTGTGTGTGTGTGTGTGTGTGTGTGTGTGTGTGTGTGTGTGTGTGTGTGTGTGTGTGTGTGTGTGTGTGTGTGTGTGTGTGTGTGTGTGTGTGTGTGTGTGTGTGTGTGTGTGTGTGTGTGTGTGTGTGTGTGTGTGTGTGTGTGTGTGTGTGTGTGTGTGTGTGTGTGAGAGAGTGAGAACAGGCTGCAGCCTTCACTGTTCTGGTACATTGACTCCAGTAGCTGTTCTTGTACTCTGTGTCCAGTGAAATCAGTCAGCGAGACACTTGCAGCGTTATGACCATGTTCCTCTCTGCTAGGCCTGTGTGTGTGTGCGCATGCAAAACAGACTTTGAATTTGTTGGAACAGCTTTTCCTCGAAGGCTGCAGCGAGTGTTTGATGTTTTTGTGTTCACTCTTTCTCCTCCAGGTCGTGTGTGTACAAGAACGATCAGGCGGTGAAAGAAAACCCGAGTAAAGCTCTGCAGGAGGAGGAGCCATGTCCGCGCTTTGCACACCAGCTGGTCTACGATGAGATGCACAAGGTAACACACACACACACACAAATACTCACACACACCATCACACAGATTTTCTGACAAACACTCAAATAGTAACACCCCAACAACTCTTGAAATACGAGTTTCAGCTCAGCTTTTGTCAGGTTTTAATTCATGCTGCATCGCATTAACACTCACACATCTGGCTCCTCTTCTTCCTCACAGTCACATAAACACTGAGTAACATTTTTTCCTTCATCCGCTCTTGAAAAACATTGTCAGAAGATGGAGGCACATTACAGTTGTTGAACTTATGGAGAAGATTAAAATCCAGTCGTGACTCAAACTCTGCAGATAAGAAGTACAAAAAAAACAGAAATTAAACTGTTTAACCATCAGGGCTTTTAAAGAATATATGTGTTTTAGCTTCTTCTATTCAGCAGTATTACTATTTGACCTGTTAGGTAGGAGATAAATGTGCTTTTAAATATGTGTTCACAATAGCGTGATGGCTGCTCCAGAGGCTCTGGGTGCTTCCAGAATTTCAAAGTTCCTACACAATCTGACAGTAGACAGTCCCTTCTCTCCGTGCTGTATCCTGTTAGGACCTACTGCTCAGTATGCCGATATCTGTTTCTACTTCGACTGATTCATTCAGTGTGGAAGTGGCGTCATTGGCCCGCCTCGTGTTATTGACACTCCAGCTCAGATGTGTCATGCACGATGGCTCAATAAATAAAACAAAACTTCACATTGCATGTAAACAATTTAATAACTTAACATTTGAAAGGCATGTTTTTTTCATCCTAGTTTGTTTTGATTTGGAGGCGCACGTGTAGTGACGTTTTACATTCCAATTCTCACAGCATTGTGGGTGTTAAAATACGACTAATTTCCTGAAAGGATGCATCCAAACCATACTGCACAAAACACAGAAGTTAGTATCCATGCTGAAATGTTCAGTCTACTGAGGTGGACCCAAAAAAATGCCCTCTGAATGACCACGATGGTTCAGTCTACTGAACTCTGAAGCTCTGAACTGTGGCTATTCGGAAAATGCCTCTGTGTGTCTGTTTGGAGTGTTGGCTGTGCACAGCCTTAAAAAGTAACGCTTTGTGGTCGCAAAGTGCAGTACCGACATGAGCGATAGGGGGCAGTGTATGGAGCAGAGAAGATGTGTGTGTCGGCCCCCGCTCTCTCCTCCCAACGTTTCCCGACTCTCTTCAGCTGTCCGATCTAATAAAGGCAAAAAAGGGTCAAAAATATCTTTAAAGAAACAAGGAAAGGTCAACAGACGTCGTCAGGTAGGGGCAGAAAAGACGAGACTCGACCCCGAGGTGAACCTGCACCGTCCTGTTGGGGTTTATTTCTGACATAACGAGCTTTTTATTTTATAGTTTCCCTCATGCTCAATCCTCCAATTTAAGTAAAAACGGGTCAGTTTTATTCTTTCTGGTCCTTTTGTTGTGTTTGCATGGCGAGACAGCGTTACAGAATATATGACATCATCACTGTGTATTCTCTGTGTGTTTCCAGGTGCATTACCTGTTTGGTGGAAACCCCGGGAAGTCGTGTTCTCCTAAGATGCGTCTGGACGACTTCTGGTCCCTCAAACTGTGTCGGCCCTCCAAGGAGTACCTGCTCCGACACTGCAGATACCTCATCAGGAAGTACAGGTGTGTTGCATCATATCCTCCCTGTCACTCATGGGACATGTGCTGCGTGTTTTACTGACGCTTATAATCCAGCATGATGTTTCCTGCGGCAGCACAGACCTGATTATACTGATGAGGGTGTTGCCCAGCTGCGACAGATTTCTGTGAAATGATTAGTCACAGACTCTTAACAGTTTTTTAATCCTGCTCGGAAACTTACATTTTATTGAGCGTGGGTCTGTGAATGTGTCCCCTTTATGGTTATCAAGTGATTTAAAGTTACAGCTCTGAACTGTAGAGACGATGACTAATCTTAAAATCTAATGAAAAAGTAATATTTATGATGTGAAAGACCTTTTTATTTCAAGTCCAATCAAGTCATCCATCTGTGTCATGATGGGCAGCCTGACTACACAGCCAAGGAATACTCTCTGCTGCTCGACTGTCGCCACCTAGTGTTTGTCAGATGTAACTGCAGCCCTGCTGTGTTTGCTTGTGTGAACTGTTTGAAGCATCGGTGTGTTTTGATTTTGCAGGTTTGAGGAGAAAGCCCAATCGGAGCCACTGAGTGCACTAAAGTATCTGCAGAACGACCTCTCGCTCACGGTGGACCACACGGACCCGGATGAGACCAAAGAGGTACTGGATCCGTCTTTAGTGCAGAGATTAGAGAATGGGATGCAGTGACAGGAAAGGTAATGAGAGTCAGAGGAAGTTAAAGAATCATGTAGCTTATGCAGAGAGCCTAGGCTGTAAATTCTAACGACCATCTGTCCAGGTAAGGTGTATTTTTCTGCCGCTGCTGCAGTCAGGCGCGTGTGTTCTGTTCAATACTATGACGTGAGCGTGGCTCAGATTCTTGTGTTGTGCTTCAGTTCCAGCTTCTGCCCTCGGCTCTCTTCAAGTCCAGCTCCGACTTCATCCCTCTGGGTAAGAAGAGTCTCTGTTCGTTTAAAAGACACAGTTGTATTTAGATAAGGACGAGATTTGAACTCGAGTTTTTGTCTCAAAAGTCCCCCACTTTTGTTAATGATCCTGCAAAAAGAAGAAACACTTCATGTAATGGACCTCTCCTCTCCTCTCCTCTCCTCTCTGGTCTCCTCTCCTCTCTGGTCTCCTTTCCTCTCCTCTCCTCTCCTCCTCTGGTCTCCTTTCCTCTCCTCTCCTCTCCTCACCTCCTCTGGTCTCCTCTCCTCTCCTCTCCTTTCCACTCTTCTCCTCTCCTCTCCTCTCCTCTCCTTTCCTCTCTTCTCCTCTCCTCTCCTCAGGTTTCTCTGACGTGGATCAGACGTATGCTCAGCGGACGCAGCTCTTCGACACGCTCGTCAACTTCTTCCCAGACAGCATGACCCCCCCTAAGGGCAACCTAGTAGACCTCATCACGCTTTAGCCCCTCCCACTCCGGACACACCACCCTCTCCTCTCACCTCACCTCACCTGCTGGAATTACTGAACACCTTCCCATCGCCGCACCTGATGGGGACGGAGGACAAAGAGCCCAGTTATTTTTCTATTCCTGAACCCTGCTACTGGGACAACTCCTCACCTGGAGCCTCCTGCTGTTACCTGACGGTGAGGTAAACACACACTAACAACACTACGGTATTTGGATTGTGAGCGGAGCGCCACATCAGCCTGACGTGTGTGTTACTCTCCCCCAAACATCCCTCCTGGTTTTTTTTTTCTTGGTAATGAAGATTTCTTGGAGCACAGAGCTGCTCTAAACTCTGCCAAACATCGCTTCTGTTTCTCATCTTTACTTTGTTTTCCCCCCCTCGTTAGAAAAGTGAAGGCCAAAAAAAAAAAAAGAGGAGGATTTGCATTTGTTTGCAGTCTTTTTTTTTTCTTTTTTTAAGAGTTGTTCTTTTTTTCTTTTTTTTTAAAGAGTTGATTTTTTTTTAAACTGTTGGATTTGTGCTTTGTACCCACGCAAACGCCCACACAGTCGACCACAGGCATCTGGAGCACATCAGACAAATGGATTGTTGCACAACTTTCGTTCAAAATCACATGTCGTTAATTCATCCGAAGAAAGGAAAGTGTGATCACGACAGAAGAACTTTTCAGTCTTGCACGGATTTAAAAAAAAAGAAAAAAGAAAATCTGTTCATTTGGTAACCTTTCAGCATCTGTCGTGCAACTTTTGATTCGGTAAGTTTTGCTTTTCCCTGAATGTGACGGCCAAAAAAAAGTCAGAAATGTAATTATGGAGGAATAATTCTACGAGATAGAGTTTAATATATATCTTGCGTATATCTCTTTTTTTGGTTTTCCCCGCCTAAACGTCCTCTGAAGGTTGGATTTAAGTGAAAAGATTTGATTTTTTTTGTAATGAACGGACTGTAACTGGTGTACAGAAAATGTAAATATACATATATGAACTCTCTGGATTGAACAGATTCTGTGCTCAGATTTTGTTCTCTCTCATCCCTCTTCATAAAAAAAACAACAACAATCAGGGTCCATATACAGCACCTCTATATATAATAACTTAACTATTATAACTTATTGGGAATACATTCAAACGAAAGGTGTGTGAATGAAGTGCTGCTGACAGAAATACGTTTGAAGATAAGAGTGGGGAAAGCTTTTCTTTGGGTCTATTTATCATAATGTGTGAACATGATTTTCATTAAGTGTTGATTCATAGGTGTAATTATCCCCCCCTCCCCCAGTGTATCTTTTTGTTTGTTCCAACACTTTGGTGCAGAATGAAATATCTCGTCATGTCCTGGGCGACTTGAGATGAAATTTGGTATTTCAGTGAGTGAGATTATAAACGAGGAATTATTCTCATTTTAGACGTTAACAAACGTTTGACCCAACCGCTTTATGAACGAGCTAATTATTTGGCATTTAGTTTAGCGCTTCACAATGGAGATGAATCATGGCAGCTCTACGTGCCGTAAAATCTGAAGTCAGGCTGGCGGAGGTCTCCCTGCTTGCGAACACGTTAGACCATCTGCACGCTTCCAGCTGAAAACGTTACCTCTGCTGCTTCCACGCCGTTTCGGGTTCTGTGTTTATAAATGCGCACTGCCCACTCAAAGTCTTCTTATCGTCTTCCATGACTCTCAGTTTGACCATAACGGATTGGGTTTTTTTGGGGGGGGGGCTTTTTGCCTTTATTAGAAAGGACAGCTGAAGAGATGATGGGAGGAGAGAGAGAGGGGGATGACGTGCAGCAAAGGGCCGAGGTCGGACTCAAACCCACGGGCGCTGCTAGGACGCCCATATCCTCTGTACACGGGGCGCTGCAAGTATCAGATTGTTTTTCAGTTTTAGTGTGATCCAAACACTGTGAACTCTGAGCGGCTCTTTGCCTCGGGTGCATCCGCTGCGACTGTTAACCAAAGCATGTGTTTATGTGTAACGTGCAGCATCAAATCGATTCTTCGCAAATGAACTATGATCTCCAGAGTTACATCATCAAATTAGAATGTGCACTGAGACTTTAAACCAGACGTGCAGCAGTTAACTGGAGCATTTTATGGACACTGATTTACATTTTTACTCTTGTTTTACAGTTAAAGCGCCCTGCTGGTGATTTGCAGCAATTCCCTAAAATGACTAACAGCGTCTTTTAAAGGTTTGGGTGTGAAAGAAACGAGGCGCTCTGTGTTTGACGGGAAATAGAAAACATCATCAGTTTTCATGAGTGTGTAATCAGCTGAAATGAAGACGTGCGGTGCGTCTGAAGGAGCTTTTTTTATTATCGAGCGCTCAAGTTGAAAATCTTTCAGCTTGTCAGAATGACGCTGTTGACGTCACCGGCGCTCTTTTTTTTAAAAATGATATTCCCCGTAGTATTTCCCCCAACGGATCAGGTCTTGTACTCACATCCTCTTGGCTCCTCGTCTGATCGGGAATATAAAACAGCAGCAGCGGCCGTTGTCAACACACTGTTGTCATGCAGACAGGATGTTTACTTCTCAGAGCGCAAACACTTCATGCAGACACTACCGAGCGCACAGCCAACACTTTTCTGCCCGGAAAAAAACGCCAGGTAGAAACGCAGCCTAAGCTATTTATTTGTTTTTAAAACCTGTAGAGTCGCCCCCTGCTGGCCATAAAATAGAATGCAGGTCAAAGACCCCTCCTGGATTAGAAACCAAGAAGCTGTGTGCACAACTCTATGATTGTCTTTACCACTAAACCCTGCACACTGCTCCTTTAAGAAGATGTGATTTAAAGCTAATGGGCTGAAATGTACTGAACGAAGCCTGGTTTAGACTTCTGCATCGGATGAATGCTGTAGCTACGCCGATGTGAGCACTACATAGTTGCGCGTTTGTGTCTGCGAGCTCTGCCTACAAACGCTAATGGTCAGTTTTTGTTACATCACTAGATTTCGCTTCCACCACATCCTCTGCTTGTTTGTGTGCAGGAAACCATGGCAACCGAAAAAGAGCGTATTATGTTAGAGGTGGGGCTGATAAATATTTTGCAGTAGTTGATTTTCCTGGCTTGTAGCGTTCTTCCTTCTGCAGATTTTTGAAAGCAGCAGCGGCAAAACCAGAAATGTAAATCCAGCCGTCCAATCACAGGGCTTGCAGGTGCATCGTTTGGATCTGTAGTCAGATTTTTGAGGAGGTGCACATCGGGCTGTGTATGTAGGCCTCTCCGTAGAAACAGGGCTACACGATCCTATGGCGTATGCTTCGGCAGGATTGAATGCACCTCATCTATAATCTCACATCCTCAATCACGTTGTCATGGTTTCAAATTCAAAACATCAGTGTCTACACTACAGCAAATGTCCTTTTTTAAAGAAGTGCAATAATCTCCTGCTGCGCCTATCATCACTTCTAATAATCTCAACCTCACAGGTGTGTTTCAGTAATCTGCACGCGTCATGTTCATTAAGAAAAAGTTACAGAAAGGAGCCTGTTGTCCAGACAAGTCGAGTAAACCTGCAAAATGTAACGAGACAGATCTCCCTGGAAGGTCAGCATCATATTTCTTGTTGTTTTTGTGCGTTTCAGTTTGTTTAGTTGGAGGAGGAGGAGGTGTTTCCCTTCATGTTTCTGTTCCTCCATGCCTCTTTGACCCCGGAGCAACAACAACAACAACAAAAAATGGTGTTAAAACTCAGAAAATGGAATAACCAAGCAAGGGATTATTTATACTTTGACAACATTTAGGGCGCATCACGCTTTGCCGTAGCATTTTTTTTTCTCTCTCTCTCTTGTGCCAGAAGAAAACCGTGTTTAAAAAATAAATGAAAGCACCTTTGTAAAGAAGACAAACACAATGCCAAATACTTCTCTTGTTTTTGCTCCATGAAACAGTGTTTGCTGGATGAAATGTTGTTCTATTGTGATGTTTTTCTCCATCTCGCCCCCTCTCTCCGGACCCCCCCCCCCCCGGGTGGGCCCCTCGAGAGTCTAAAGGCTGGTACTCTCCGATCAGTGAGCACTACTCTGTGGAAACAGTGAATGTGTAGAAAGCCTTGTAGTATTGCATTGTATGTAATGTATATAATGAATAAAGATTGTATTTTGTTCAGGTTTTCCTAATTCCTTGTCTCTGTGGTGTTTCTGCCCTCTAGTGGCGGAGTGCAGGTATTACAGGCGGCTCGGCAGAAGACAAACGACAGACCAAAAGTGGAAAAAAAAAAAAGCTTCCTTTATTTGCAAATCTGAAAAATGAAGAATAACAAGACCGCCGCGGCGATCGACAATTTACAGCTTCCAGTGTGTCAGACCCCTGTTGTTCGCCTTCAGCAGCAAACAGACCATAAATACATAAAATACTGGTGACAAACGGCACAGCTATAGTGTGTAAAAGTGAAATTATAAACACACAAATGTAATAGAAACAAAAGTAGGATTGGAGTGCCCAAGCTGATGGATTCACTTGTTTTTATAAGAAAATATATATTAACTTCTTAAAGGGAAGACAAATGTTCAAATGTGCTCCGGCTCTGCTGCAGGGTCGTTTCGACTCCGTTCCCTCCAGCTTCAGCAACCGTGAAAAAATACAAATATTTACAGTGTTTACGACACGTGTTTGTACATAATGAGCTTCATCAGTCCGGTGTTATCTTAATTATTATTCTTTGACTTACTGTGGAGGTTTAGAGGATTATTGCTTCATAGGGGAAATCTCTGCATCTTCTTGACTCTTAAAAAATCACGTTTATAAAATGATAAAGGTCAGTGAGATGTGTAGTGAGTGAAATGATAAAGTGACCTTACTATATGATCAGACATTAAGGAAACATGCTATGTTGAAGTGCTGGCTTCTCTGACAACAATGCAGCAGTCAGTATGTCCTCCTTCTAACTTTAGATTCTGCTCCTGAATGCTCTGGATTTGTTTGGACCAGAGAAGGTCGGCGGTTATAAGACACCCCCACATGGCCGTATTGGACGCCCCTCGGTTTGTCAGATATGAGAGCAGTTATCAGGTCAACAGGTGTTGCAGCGATGGAAGCGGGCAAGAGAAGTGGTTCAGATAGAAGTGATTGTACCCGACCTAAAAAGCCTCTGCATGTTTCTAATAAGCTCCACGAGCAGAAACGTGCTCAAACTAGGATCAATATTGGAGATGCTTTTGAAAAATGGAGAGAGGTTAGAACACAGAAAGGTTTACAGACTGATGCAGAGCTGGATAAACACTGAAGCTTCAGTGAAGGAGATAAACAGGAAGCGTCTCTCAGTTTCAAATCCTGAAAAATTACGGACTGATTCTGTATAAATATTTGGTATGTTTTTAAAACTCCTTGTTGTGATTGTGCTTTTGGCCTCGTCAGACTCTGTGGTTTCTGTCGCTCAGCAATGAAGTGTTAGTGTATGTTTGTTTTTAAAACGAGGCGTTTAAATACTGATGATCTTTTTGAAAACATGATGGTAATACCTTGGTGCACGGAGAACCGGAGAGGACAAATGTGAAGACTTATTTTCTTATTAGATGATTCCTTTCTCCTCTATTGCGTTACAAGTGTTTGTACAGGCAAATTGTCGTTGGCATTGTGTTTGAGTTTGTGTTAAACTCTGATTTCATGCAAGGCCGCCCATAAGGGGGGATAAAGGGGCAACACTTTCTGAAGCCCAGTCACATGGGGGGGAGCAAAAACGTGCAAAACAACGAGAGAGATAAAGAGAGAAACCATAAATTAAGGCCTTGAATTTAAAGACTCAACCAAAATCAGAACTAAAAATGAACTTTTGGTGATTTGTCCTCTCAGGCTTTCCGTACATCTTCGCGTCAACATGTTGCATCTGGGATTAAACTCCTTCATTTGTCCTATTTCGAAGACGACATTCCCTCCCTGTTAAGTTTAAAGTTTTAATACTCAGTTTCACCAGTTGGAGCCACTGGCAGCTCCGACGTGCACTAGTGAAAATCACCAGGATGCTGTGAAGTATCCTGAGGTCATCTTATCTATGTTAGTAACACTAGAACCGCCGAGGCAGCTGACGTTGATTTGACCGCTCGTGACAGTCTTTGTCTCGGGTTTTTCAGAGCACAGTGATCCGTATTCTTCTCCACCTGACTCTTCCTCGTTTGCAGAAATAACATTAAAAATTCCTCATTCGCAAATGTTTGTGTTCAAATCAACCCTCAAACTCAAAGTCGGGGAAAAGGCACAAGGCTCTTTGTGTTTTGGGAACTTTCTGGAGATCACATTCGGATTTATGCTCTGCAGGAAGTCACAGCTGAAGAATATACTGTATGTGTAGAAACTGTGTAGGCACATATTTAGAAACATATTTTTAAGCTCAGAAGGCCTCCATGAAAGATTTCATTGGTTCTTCATCCTTAAAGTATGATAGAAATTAATCTAAACGGCGTGTATGAGGGGGCGTGTTTGTTCTCTTTGTAAAATGAAAAGTCATTTCTTGATCCATGAACAAGAATCTCCAGCAGCCAGGTCCTCCCGTCTCCTCCTGCTCCTCCTCCTCTTCTTCTTCTTCTTCTTCTTCTTCGTCTAATTCTTCTTCTGTGTACGCCGTCGTCTCTACAGGTGAGTGTCCTCCTCGTCGGGCATGTCGTCCTTCAGCAGGTTGTCGATGGGCACGATCCAGCTGTCGTTGAACTCCCCGTTCAGCGCCATCTTCTTCTCCTGCATCTCCGGCTGCACCTCCATCACCTCCAGCGTGGGGTTGTCATGGTAACCGTTCTCCACCGTGTGCAGCTCCTCGGTCAGGTGTTGCTGCAGAGATAAAAAAAAAAAAAGAGAAGCATGTAAGAAATTTGCAATCGCATCTATTTTTTTAAATTATGAATCATAAGGAAACCAACGTTTTATGGAGGAACACGTCTAAAAAAAGAAAGGATGTGTGACTCGTGTGGCGTGTGATCATACCTGGTTCTCGTTGTAAGGTTTGCGGTGGTGTGAGGCACAGACGGCGAGGATGACGATCATGATGAGCAGAGCTCCACACGACGCCAGGATGGCGATCAGGGTTTTATTATCCGTCGGTTTCTTTAAGTGGAGAAAACAACAAAATACTTTTTACATCTGCACTCTTGTTAATTAGGCTGCAAGCGTGTGCATATGATAAAGGTTTCTTCTTTTTTCTTTTTTACCTGAGGCCTCTTTATACATATTCTGGGTACTAAATGACTGAGAGACAAATAGTTTGGAATTGATCCAGGTGAGTTCTTCAGCCAACAGTCTTAAGATGGGCTGCAACGTAACACTAGGGGGCAATGCAGCCAATCACAGTGTGTCCATAGAATTGGATTGGGGGCGGCAGTATCAGTAGTTTGTAAGGACATGGGTTGGGAACCGTGGGATGGCCGGTTTAAGACCAGGTGCGGACCAAAGTGTGGAAGTTTTGTTAGCCAGAAGGAGACACCCAACAGCTTTGGCATGCTACCTGTGTAGCAGTGTGTAGCAGCCCCGCTGTGACATGTCTCCATTAATGCACGTCCAGGTCCTGTGTGTGCGTCTGTGTGTATTTCAGGCCCATGTATGTGAAAAGCACGAGTGTCGCTGACAAACTCAGATTATTATTCTTAGTGACAACATTACAGGGAACGACGTTTTTTGTTTGTTGTTTGTTAAGGTAAGGTCCTTTTTTGAACCAGACACGTCCCTTACATCACGCTGCTCAAAGCCACCATGGACAATAACTCAGACATTTCTTGTTGGAGTTGCTGTTCTCCTGCTGCCTCATTCTTAGTGCCTTCATTTCACAGACAATCAAGACCTTTAGTGGACATCTGCGCTCAGGAGAAGTTGCATCATTACGGCCTGTTTCATGCAATCCACTGGAGCAACTCCAAAACCTTTTGTACCTGTTTGTCACTTTATGTGACATGTTCAAAGAAGTTAAAAACTCTTACCTTGTTGATTTCTTCATAGATCTCCGTTGCCAGTTTGGTTTTGACTGTGAGATCAGTTTGAATGAGTTTGTGAGCAGAGAGTATATATAAACTTAAATAAATGTGACTTTTACTTCCAGAGGGAAGAAGCGGCTTTACCTTTCCCGTTGATCTCCACAACGTCAAACTGGACTCTGTCGTGATGCCTCCATGTCAGAGTGCAGTTTCCATCCTGCATGTTCACCATCAGCCGCTTGCACACCTCCACCAGATCATGCTTTTTGTCTTCCTGGAGGTAAAAATGACACAATTTCAAACAAACTAAATAAATCCACAGACATATTATGTATTTCAGCTTGGCCTCTAAGTGAGTGTCAGAGTTTGGACAGGAAGGTTAGATGTTGCAGCCGAGGTCACATATTCCTGTGCGGTGACGTGAGGATTATTTCTGGTGTGTGATGATGATGATGGAGGACTACTGCTGTCTACGACATCACACAGACAGTATGAGTATATATGAAAGAGGTGTGGGAACGTCGGAAACAAGTGAAAGGCAGGAAGCATTCCCACTAAGACACTTTTTCCATCCAGTGACTGGAATCTTTTTTTTTTCTATAGCGAGCTTCACTGCTTCCTGTCCTCCAGGTTGCTGAAAACTCAGAGTCTGGACGAAACACCCAGAGACTCCTCTCGAGGGGGGCGGGGTGTAGATGTTTTTACAGTTGGAGGGAGTGGTGTACGAGCCGAGTGCTGAAGATAATTACACACAACTCCAGATGAATCCCTGAGTTGATTTGTGTCTTATGGATGTTTTTAAACCATCTCTTTCGTCATTGATTCGTAACAGCTGCTCAATTTCTTGCAAGCTGTTAAGCTGTTTTTTATCCCCCTTGAGCTCCAGCATGAAACCAAAACAAACTGCTATTAGGCCACACCTCCTCCATCCTGAAGCCTCCGCTCTCCTCCAGACACACACCTCCAACACACCTCCACTTGCGTTCGCCTGGAGGAGTTAATCGCAAGCGGCAGACAAAATTGCCCTGTTTGAGCTGTGATCCCCTGTGTCCTGCATTGTTGTGTTAGCATGCTACTGTTAGCGCTCTTTAGTTAGCTCGTACCTTCACATTGCGTGTAAACTGACACAGAATGAGCGTGATCTAAAAACTCTTACTAACATCCAAATAATCCGTGAGTATGTTCTTCTTCTTCTCTCTTGTCCTTGACTAAAACAGTTTTTATACACAAGGGGAGGAGCCGGCCGTCCCGTCCATGTAAACACAGCTCTGACAACAACACAGCCAGCGGGACTCGAGCTTCTCACTCATTGTAGACAGTCATGACTCAGAGACACATCGTCTTAAATGTTGCACGTTCTTTCTTTAATATTGTGTCTTCAAAAAGGAGAGAAAAGTTGTGCGACAGTAAATGTATGAGCAGCTGCCCCGATGAAAGCATGAAGGTAGATGATTAAACACAACACGTCTTATTGTTCTTGTTCTCCCTGCAGGATGTTACACAATAACCGGACATCATTAATTAGTCCGCACGTTTGGGAGTAAATGTCAGAGGAGAAAGGAGTGGAAGGGTGCGGGTCTGCCTCCCATGGACGGGACAATGGCAGAGGTTTGAGGAGCCACCGTGGAAGAACCGTGTTTATTATCACATATGGACTGTTCAGGAATCGAAAGAATCTGATGCAGATTCAAAGAAACAAAATCTTACCTCTTGTCCCGTGTTTAGAGAATACTGCAGAACATAAACAAACAGAAAAAGACATCAGTTAAACAAATCAGAGTATCGTTAATATATTAATGTGTTTTAAAAAAAAAGCTTAAAAAACCTACAACAAACGTCTTCAGCTGAGCGCCTGAGGTCGTATCAAAGGTGGTGGGGATCTGGGAGGCAGTGGTTCCAGCTCGGTCCCTGAGGTTCCTCCTGCTAGAGGTCCTGCTTTGGTGAGGGTGGAGGGGGAGCTGGTGGTCCCAGTGTTCCCAACAGGCCCCGGGTCCTTCGATGCCGTCGGCTGTTGGTTTGTCATCGTCACGGTCATTTTCTCTGAACCTTCAACGACAGACAAGATCACAGATAAAAGACTGTCTCCAGAGAGTGACGCACGACCCTCCAAGCCAACCAGGAACATACTAAGACAGCAAAAGCAAACCGAATTTTAACCCCTAAGCTAAGTCGGCGAGGTCAGGTGACGTCACTCAGGTGTGTTATTTCCCTGTCGGGGTCTCACCTCCTCCCCCGCCCTGCTGGCTCGTCCTGGATGTGATGGTCGTGTGACTCGTGGTCGACTGCCCTGGGCCTGGAGCACCTGTCGAGTTACTTGTGGGGTTTGTAGTCCCCACATTACCTGGACCTCCCGGCTGTGTTACAGGCGATCCAGTGCCAGGTGACACCCCGCTGGATCCAGAGGGTTTTGTCGTCAGTATTATGGGAGCACTGGAGGAAACCACGGAACCTGCTGCTGCTGTTGCTGCTGCCGTTGTTGCTGCTGCCGTTGTTTGCAGCTGGATCAGGGTCGTGGACGGGTTGTTCAGCTGCGTTGTAGACCCAGCAGTGAGGCTAATGGCGGTAGTTGCTGTCTGGTTGTTTGGGACGGAGGTCACTGCTGGTGTGGTGGAGGCTGGTTTATCTGTGCCGGTAGTGAGCACTGTGACAGTGGGACTGGTGGGTGCACTGTTTGTCGTAGCCTCCGTGGCAGCAGTTGACACAGTGTTGTTTGTGTTATTATCGATTGTCATCGGCACTGCAGTGATTGTAGCATTGTTGTTTGACACAAAAGTCTTGTTCTCAGCGTCAGTGTTTGCAGAGACGATGTGAAACAGGAAGCCTGTGGAGGGAGGGAAAAAACACAATTATTACAAACAGAAGACTAACAATGAAAAGACATCAACCGGTGGGAATGATTCATATATATATATGAATGTTCATATAAACATTGCATACAAACATTGGGAAATAGAGCAAAATGTTGAGACACAACACTGTTACCATAATACCGTTGTTCTCCAGCGTAGCTCCAAGAAATAAAAAGACACATTGAGGAAATATCAGCCGATGGAGTCGTTTCAGTATGACTCAAAATCGGATCAAGAACAGCCTGAAATCCGCCAATGTACATCCAGCTTGAGCAATGTGGGTTTTGATCGGAACCAGTGGGAGTCGCCCCTTTGCTGGACATTAGGAAGACTGCAGGTTGAAAGCACTTGCTCATTGGCTTCACTCTTAAAACCAAGAGGCTACGTCCACTTCATACAGTCTATGGCTCAAACACGATAAACAGCTGAGGGGAACTTTTAGTGAAAGTTCTTTGTTTGGTTCACCACAACAGGCACTTATTAATACACATATTAACACATTGTGATTCATTCCATTGTTTATACATAAATATGGACTAGCACAGCATTAACACTAAATAAAAGACTGTCTCTAAAGTCGTAGTCGAGGGCCTCTGAAGGGTGATCATGGCGACCTCTGCTCCCTGACTTCCTGCAGGTGGGACAGCTGTGAGCTTCACTCTCGGCGCTCCATCTTCTTCTGTTCCTTTATTTTTAGCCACCAGGACAGGATGCCGCACACAATAAACTTGGAAGCACCACACCCGCGACCACGGCCCCTTCGGAGTGCCCCTCCAACAATCCTCGGCTGACTCCAAGTCCGCAAAACAATGGCACACATCCCCCCCACACACCCTCCCCAAAGCTTTCTGACCTCCACCCACCTACACAACATCCACACACATAGAGGCATTGGATCTCATAAGGAGACAAAAACACATGTAACTACTTTAAGGAGCTTTTAGCATGTTTGAGCTAATTCATCTGAAATTACTCGACTCCACAGGAGCACACGTTGACCAAACATTCCTGATATCAGTCACAACTTGGGCGTTAAAATATGTATGTTGTGGCCTTTGTTAACTATGTATGACATCTTTCGTTCTTCCCTCTTTTACAATTTCTAAAACCCCAAAAATCAGCTCGTAACTCTGTGACAAGATGCTTTTAGTTTCAATGTCAGGTGAGGTAGGCTCCTTTAAACGCTCTCAAGGTTTTTCATCTCATCTGTACAATTTCAAAGTATATTTCTGTTTTATTTCATTCAATTTCAAACAGTTGATGAACTAAATTGTCACAACACTTGAACACACCATGAGGTTAATGTCAGGAGGGATCAGATAAGAGTCCGTTGTGGTGAAGTGGAGGCTGGTGGAGCCGAGTCTGCGCTCTCTCCGTAACACATTGAAACTGAAGTTATCAGCTGACAGCTCGACGGGACAAAGAGAGACGCGCTGTCAGGGTCTACACTCACAGGAGGACTTTGATTTAGATGAGTGTACACGGCCTTTTAACTGTGTCGACACTGTGTGACAGCGTGTCAGATTTGTCGACTCTTATTCAAACCTTGGTTTTGTGCAAATTATTTGTCGAAACTTAAATAAGGGTCTTCCGACTACTCAAAGAGCTTTTGCACCTCAGGTCACATCTACACTTTCACACACTGATGGTAGAGGTCGCTGTGTAAAGTGACCATCAGTACTTACTAATCCATTCATACACATTCACAAGTACGCACATGCACATTCAGGGTTAAGTGTCTCACCAAAGGACACATCGGACATGTAACTACAGGAGCTGGGGATCGAACACCTGACTGTCCAACTGAGCCACAGCTGCCTAAATAGATACACTGATTGATGGACTTCCACTGGGTGACAAGTGGAGACTCTAGGGAGGCGCGTTTAGCTCATGAAACCGTGAGAATTTCCAGCATCACATCTTAAGAGGAGAATAGATAGGCTGGTGTTCAGTATAATTTTCCAGAGATGACACAGTGACCAAACCTTTCCTGTTAAAAGTGCTCAACTGCCAGCAAATTCCACCAAATCTGTTTATCATTTTCTCCTCTCGCTCTCTCTCTCTCTCTCTCTCTCTCTCTCTCTCTCTCTTCGCTCTCTCTCAGGAGTGGCATCGTGTTCGCTGTGACCCCCGCTGACCCCATCTGTCAGTGACGCGTCTGTTTCTTAGTGTTCGACAGCACCGACCGATCTGCTGCTATCAGAACCCCGGCTGTTTTTACCTCACCCACACATTCCTCAGCACACTGCTTCCTCTAACACACACACACACACACACAGACACACACACGCACACACACGTACACACACACACATCAGCACCTGTACTCTGTCGAATCCTCCACCTCTGCCATCGTCTCGTTTCAACACAACAAACGCCCTTTTCCTGCTTTGTTTCTTTCTAATGACTTTACCGGCTACTTAAAACACTTTCAGTATAAAATAATTCTTACTAGAATCCCAGTAATAACTTATTTGAGGAGAAGCTGATCAGTTGAAAATATCTGAATCATCTTGATGAAATAATTGTGAGTTATCTGAAGAATTAATATCATCACAAACTCTCAAACTGAGGCACTCGGCAACACGGAGCATGATGACGCAACCTCATTTGAATTCCATGTGACCCCATGTTGGGACCCCAAGGTTGGACAGGCCTGACTAGGGGCTTTATTTTCCTCCCAGGTCTTGTTGCCACCCAATCAGAGCAAAACGAAGACTATATGTATGGACGTAAAGTCATCCGATCGACAAAATAACACGTATCATGCTGTGGCTTGTGTGATGTGTCACACAGGAAACTTCACGCAACATGTTAGGTACGGCTTTAGTTAACTAGGGACAATGAATGTTGAATGAATTGAATCATACATTAAGTTCACACAGTGAGCTAAAGCAAAGCTCCAAACAAAGTCTTACGACTTCATGCTCTACGACTGACAGATGTTAAATGAAGTGGATGTTTTGGAAACCAGGGAGGGAAGAGAGATAACAAGCTGGGAGTTAACATTTTGTTCCACTGGCTCCAAGTGGCAAAAAAAATAATCACTATGGGATAAGATTACTTTTGCAAATATGTGCCTTTTACCCCCCAAAAAAGCAGCATGAATTTTTATTGCATCTGCACAGGATGATGCAAATATTCAGTTAGAATATTCTCTCTGTGTAGTGTGTGTGTGTGTGTGTGTATATGTGTGTTTCTGTATGTACACGTTTTGTCTTTGAGGTGCCGAGAAGTTGATGTCACATCCTGCTCGATCTGATCTAGAAATAAAAAGCCAGCTTCCTGTTCCACTTTCTCTCTTTCGGAGCTAAACCAACCATTTGTTTGATGTAGCTCTTTGTGTTCACACCTCACACCCCTTCATGCGCTCACACACACCTGCACGTACACCACTGATACAGACCAAACGCACCTCATATCTGTTGTTTTTTGTTTATTTATTCACATTTATTTTGGCAACTCCATCCTCCCGTCTTTTGTCTCCAACTCAGCAGCATATCACTCCACTTACAGACTCACAGTGTAGAAAACATGGACGTCATCTCAGTGAAGTCCCCCACTGGTTTCTGGACAGGCGTTATGAAGCCCAACAAGGGCGGCCGCCATATTGGAAATGCTGACTTGAGCATAATTTCGATTCAACCGAGCAAGAGGAAAAGTGGCGGGGCTAAGCTACAACGACCACCTGTCAATCAACTCAGCCACACCCCTAATTATGCAAATGTATAATAAATAACTTTCAACCTTAATAAAATAAAAACGCAAGAGTTATGAAGCAAATCACCCTGTGTGCTCTTTGTACCAATACATGCACGAGCTACAGACACCAAAACTGTTTTTTTTACCAGGCTGTAAACGTGTTTATTTTAAATGGACGTTCATTTATGGGACCTATTGGGGATTCTTTGGCGTTCGGAGCCAGACTCAAGTGGACGCTCAAGGAACTGCAGTTTCGTTTTTTCAGCATCAAAGGTTGCTGCTTGGAACAACTTCAAAAAATGTTTTGCCTTTTCACAAAGCAAAATAAAAACCTGCACGGACTTCCTCTAGCTCTCTACGACCTCTCTGACCTCAGCGTGCGGATCTCGTCTCAGAGAGTGTAGACGGTGTGGTGTTGTATTGTTGTTATTCTGTTTGTGTCGGGGTGTGTCCTCTCCAGCCGACTGTGTGTGGGGGTCAGACGGACGAGGGTGTGAGAACCGACCTGCTGTCCTTTCCCTGGCTCTTCTCCTCTCTCATTCTTGGCTCTCGGCAGCGTCAGGAAACACTTCTGTTGATTTGATCCTGAAGGTGACTTCTAATTCTGTTAAACGTCTCAACGAATGAATGCTGGTTTAGTGCCAGCTGATTCTATTGTTCCCACTGATGTTTATGTATACATTCATATAAGTTACACAAAGACAGCTAACATGTGTCTGTCATGTCATATCCTTTAAGTCATGTATTTAGTTCATCTGTTTCATGTTACTGTAACTCGTGTATTGCTTTACCTTCTATCTGTGTTCCTCTCCTCACCTTTGTGATCATTTGCCCCGCCTTTATTGTTTTCACCTGTGTCTGATCTGTCTCACCTGTCCCTGATTAACCTCACCGTATAAATGACCTTCCCAGAGCCTCGGCCTGTTTGAGTTTTCAACTCTGGTGTGACTGTTTCCTCGTTGCGCTCCTTTTGTTTTCAAACGTTTCCCTGCTCCTTATAATTTTATTTGTGGACCTTTAATCTCCTGTAACTCTCCTTTGTTTTGGACATTTTCGTTCAAGTTCCCTGCAATTGGGTCCGTTTCGATGCAGTTAGATAAATCTAAAGTGAGCCATAAGCTACCCTTTGGTAAGATGAAAAGTGGTGAAAAATGTGCTCTTGGATTTTTTAAATCTAGGTTGAAAAACGGGTGTTGAGTTAAACTTAAGGAACTTTGTTTTTCTTTTAGTGATAGCTCATAAAAACACTGAACTGTGTTTATCACATGAC